TCCACCGCTCCCGTCTTCCACCACTTCCCCTTTCCACTCTCCTCCCCCTTTCCACCACTAACCCTTTCCACCACTAATCCTTTCCACTCTCCTCCCCCTTTCCACCACTCCTGCCTTCCACCACTTCCCCTTTCCACTCTCCTCCCCCTTTCCACCACTCATCCTTTCCACTCTCCTCCCCCTTTCCACCACTCCTGCCTTCCACCACTTCCCCTTTCCACTCTCCTTCCCTTTCCACTCTCCTCCCCTTTCCACCACTCCTGCCTTCCACCACTTCCCCTTTCCACTCTCCTTCCCTTTCCACCCTCCTCCCCCTTTCCACCGCTCCCGCCTTCCACCGCTCCCACCTTCCACCACTTCCCCTTTCCAGCCCTCACCACTTTCAACTCCACTCCCCCTTTCCATTTCCACCTATCCACCTTTCTTCACCGTCCTCGTTAATTACTTCGTTCAGCAATGTTAACCATCATTTTATAGTACATTTCCGTCCTTACTTAAACCAAACCCTAACAAGGGTTGCATTAGTTTGATATATATACACACACATATATATATACATATATATATATATGTGTGTGTGTGTATGTATGTAAATGATACAGTCTACAGGCACATTGTGAGCCCATACACGATATTGTGATATAACCTTCCAAGGGCACACGCATGCGCACATGGCCTCATCTTTAACCCAGGTTGAACCTTTTTTTTTTTTTGTGTGTGGGTCGTATTTAAAAAAGTTGGCATGAGAGAATCAGCTGTTTACTTCATTCCTGGCCTTGTTGCCTTCTATTTCCATCGTGTGAAACCATTTCACTGTACAAACTGTGCGTAGCTCTCTGGGAGCCTATTGATTTAACGCAGTGCCTTGGCGTGTTTTTTTATTAGGTTGCCCAAAATTAGTCGTGGAGTCACTTGATCAAATACATGTAGTGTGTTTGCGTACCAGCCCTGTTATTTGTGTAGTTAAATGTGTATCTGTTAGTCGTGGACAGGCTTGTCTATATGGACACGATTCATTACGGTTGAAGTGCATTACTAAAGACTTTGAGAAACTTTGCTCTGCACTACTCCAGACAATGTGGATTTCTTGTGTAAAGGGCTGAACAGCGTGTTTTATTTGCACGGCCAGTGAAACTAAGCCATTACCGTTTGTAATTACCTATGTGATGAGTTGTGTAAGGACAGCTACGGTAAAATTATAAGTTGTTACTTTGTTAGGGAAGTCAACAAGTAACAAAACAAAAAAATACAAACTGTCTAGGTGTCTTAAATTGTGGTGTAACCAGCTGATGGGAGAGGAGGGGGCGGTCACTTTAAATCATCTAGCGATATTAAGTCTCCCCATTGTAATCAATGAACTAGCGAGTCCCAAGGACATAGCCTACATTGAATCCTTAAAAACTATTTTTTTACATCACGGTGCATACTTTGGCTAAGTCTTTCAAATATGGCTACACCCTATACGATCGGTTTGTACTTTGACCAGCTTTCGAAAACGAAGCGGCTATTCGGACCCGGGTCCCTTAAGACTAAATCCCATTCGGGTGTCATTTGTGGTAGTTTATTTTAGTTAAACTGAAGAAGTAAATTTACAAACATATAGTCCATTCAACTAGACTATCCTTAATTTGATACCTGATTTTGTCTTACAACCCCAACAATAATCTTTTAAATAGTTTTTTTTTAATCCCAACCTCTCACTTCTGATACCCGGGTGCGAATAGTCGCAGCCCTTCAAAAAACAAAAAAAACATTTCCCGTCCTTGATCGACCGTCTGTATGTGGGATAGATGAGGTATAGTCAAATCTTATTGATCTGGTCTAACACAGGGGGAGCTATGCTCGGGACAGCTGGCCCGTGACTCAGTTGATCGGTATCATGTTTGTTTGGGGATAGTTGGATCTCAGTGAGATTATGGCTATTCTCTATTTATCTGTCGACCGTCAGGCATGCTTGTGAATGGGGCTATGTGTATCTGACTTGTCCGGATGGACGATTCAAGTGCGGTCAGTTAATGCGCAGAGATTACTTTAGGCTTTACTTTCACTCAATCAAAGTACCACCGCGTGTGTGTCTAGTGCTATACTAATGGCCCTGAGCGGCACTTGGCTACCATATGGTGTAGTGGTGGTCATCGTGAGTTTAAGTTTTAAAAAAAAAGCATTTGTCACCACTTGCCTTTGGTTAGGAAAGGTTTTTTGAAGTCTAGAAGTGTGGGGAGTTTAGTATGCACTGTAACAATTTAATGGGGAGTTTAGGATGCACTGTAACAATTTAATGGAAAGTTTAGGATGCTCTGTAACAATTTAGTGGGGAGTTTAGGATGCACTGTAACAATTTAATGGGGAGTTTAGGATGCACTGTAACAATTTAATGGGGAGTTTATGATGCACTGTAACAATTTAATGGGGAGTTTAGGATGCAGTGTAACAATTTAGTGGGGAGTTTAGGATGCAGTGTAACAATTTAGTGGGGAGTTTAGGATGCACTGTAACAATTCAATGGAAAGCTTAGGATGCACTGTAACAATTTAGTGGGGAGTTAAGGATGCAGTGTAACAATTTAGTGGGGAGTTTAGGATGCACTGTAACAATTCAATGGAAAGCTTAGGATGCACTGTAACAATTTAGAGGGGAGTTAAGGATGCTCTGTAACAATTTAGTGGGAGTTTAGGATGCTCTGTAACAATTTAGTGAGGAGTTTAGGATGCCAACAATTTAATGGGGAGTTTAGGATGCACTGTAACAATTTAATGGAAAGTTTAGGATGCATTGTAACAATTTAGTGGGGAGTTTAGGATGCACTGTAACAATTTAGTGGGGAGTTTAGGATGCACTGTAAAAATTTAGTGGGGAGTTTAGGATGTACTGTAACAATTCAATGGGGAGTTTAGGATGTACTGTAACAATTTAATGGCGAGTTTAGGATGCACTGTAACAATTTAGTGGGGAGTTTAGGATGCACTGTAACAATTTAATGGGGAGTTTAGGATGCACTGTAACAATTCAATGGGGAGTTTAGGATGTACTGGCACTGTAACAATTTAATGAGGAGTTTAGGATGCACTGTAACAATTCAATGGGGAGTTTAGGATGTACAGGCACTGTAACAATTCAATGGGGAGTTTAGTATGCACTGTAACAATTTAATGGGAAGTTTAGGATGCATTGTAACAATATAGTGGGGAGTTTAGGATGCACTGTAACAATTTAATGGGGAGTTTAGGATGTACCGGCACTGTAACAATTTAGTGGGGAGTTTGGGATTCACTGTAACAATTCAATGGGGAGTTTAGGATGTACCGGCGCTGTAACAATTCAATGGGGAGTTTAGGATGTACCGGCACTGTAACAATTTAATGGGGAGTTTAGGATGCACTGTAACAATTTAGTGGGGAGTTTAGGATGCACTGTAACAATTCAATTGGGAGTTTAGGATGTACCGGCACTGTAACAATTTAATTGGAAGTTTAGGATGCAGTGTAATAATTTAGTGGGGAGTTTAGGATGCACTGTAACAATTCAATGGGGAGTTTAGGATGTACCGGCACTGTAACAATTTAATGGGGAGTTTAGGATGCACTGCAACAATTTAGTGGGGAGTTTAGGATGCACTGTAACAATTTAATGGGAAGTTTAGGATGTACTGTAACAATTTAGTGGGAAGTTTAGGATGTACAGTAACAATTTAGTGGGGAGTTTAGGATACACTGTAACAATTAGTGGGGAGTTTAGGATGTACTTTTACGATAAAACTAGCCCCTACCACACCTGACACCCTCCTGTGGCATACTTTTGGTACCGTTCTGAAGCTAATTCATTTCCCTGCATGCACCACGCTAACGTATGAACTGTGGTGTGACTTGGTGCAAGTGATGGTGTAGAGAAGCAGTAACCGTCCAATCAAGTAGTGTTAAATTGTAAAACCTGAAGATTTTAGGAAGATGGGGAACGTATTTTTAATGTACATTATTAAACTAGAATCCAGTCCGAGCTGACGTATTTGGAGGAATACCTGCCGGCCTTTATTGTTGCCCTGTTCCCTCCCCCTTTTTTTTCCTTCACATACCCCCCCCCCAACCCGAGCATGTAAACAATCACTGATGGATGTAATCTAAGTTTGCACCGGGCTGTAAGGAAGGAGGTCAACTGCCACCATCATAGTGCTGCTCGTGTTGGTGTTGTGGGCTGTAAGGAAGGAGGTAAACTGCCACCATCATAGTGCTGCTCGTGTTGGTGTTGTGGGCTGTAAGGAAGGAGGTAAACTGCCACCATCATAGTGCTGCTCGTGTTGGTGTTGTGGGCTGTAAGGAAGGAGGTAAACTGCCACCATCATAGTGCTGGTCGTGTTTGTGTTGGTGGGCTGTAAGGAAGGAGGTCAACTGCCACCATCATAGTGCTGATCGTGTTTGTGTTGGTGGGCTGTAAGGAAGGAGGTAAACTGCCACCATCATAGTGCTGCTCGTGTTGGTGTTGTGGGCTGTAAGGAAGGAGGTCAACTGCCACCATCATAGTGCTGCTCGTGTTCGTGTTGGTGGGCTGTAAGGAAGGAGGTCAACTGCCACCATCATAGTGCTGCTCGTGTTTGTGTTGGTGGGCATGTGAACTTAAGACATATTACGTCAAAGTCTTTTAGGAGTAACGATCCCATAAATAAAAAAAAAAGGTTGACTTTTTTCTTGTTGCGTGGGGAGGATATTTAGCTCTCTAACCTGACCTAGTTTCCTTGGTGTTCATGCAAACTGTAGCTGTGTCATGACCAACACTTCAACACCCCCCCCCTCCCCCCAAAGTCTACTCACCACTGGCCCCTTTACTTGGTACATAGATTATGCCAGTGTCAAGGTCATGGAATCAAGTGTAAATGTTTTATTGTATTATTTGTCCTCGGCTCTTTATAATGAGAGGTCAGTTATGTCTCACCCACCCCTTTCCCCCACCCTCTTCCTTTCGCCCATCATCTCCCTTTCCCCTACCCTTTCCCCTACCATCTCCCTTTCCCCTACCCTTTCCCCTAACAATCTCCCTCCCCCCCACCTTCTCCCTTCTCCTCACCCTTTCCCCACCCTCTCCCATTTCCCCCCCTCCCATCCCCCACCCTCCCCCTCCCCCCCACCCTCCTCTCCCCACCCTCCTTCCTCACCCTTTCCCCACCCTCTCCCATCTCCCCCCCTCCCATCCCCCACCCTCCCCCTCCCCCCCACCCTCCTCTCCCCACCCTCCTCTCCCCACATCCTCTCCTCTGGCATAGACAAACAAGTGACAGTTACCGTTGAAATAATCGAACGTGATCCGAATTTTGTGTTTGCTTATCGTATAATGAAGGATGATTCCTAAAATAGCTTTTTTTAATGGCAGGGGTTTCTTGGTGTTCAACTTAACTTCACAACGGATTGAACACAACCGTCTTGTAGTTGTAGCAACTACGGTCTCTGTCTCTGGATTGCCCGTTCAATCCGTCTTGTAGTTGTAGCAACTACGGTCTCTGTCTCTGGGTTGCCCGTTCAATCCGTCTTGTAGTTGTAGCAACTACGGTCTCTGTCTCTGGGTTGCCCGTTCAAACCGTCTTGTAGTTGTAGCACCTACAGCAACTGATCCTAGATTCTCTTTACTTGTCGCTATGCGAAATGACCAGTAAAACCTAGTTAAATGTGCTGCATCTCCTATATGAACAGACCTAGTATACAGGTGCTCAAGAAACTTTAAAACATTTTACTTGTATTCATTAGGCCAAATGTGAAGCTGATTAATGAACAACTATCGATATTTAGTTGGTACTATAATGACGGCCACATTTCAATTGAAGCCAAGTGGAAGCTTTCCACGATGTAGTGAAAGAAAACAATGTTTAAACTGTCTTTTAAATAAGGTCAATTGGTGGAAAGGTAAACATTTTAAACTTTGTTTTCCAGTACTATGTAATAGGGCGACGACGTATCTAATGTCATGGCTGATATTGTAACTCTAATTAATTAGTCATCAATTCGAAAAGAAACCACCGTGGAATACGTTTAAAGCGAAAACGCTTAAAACACGAAATATCGGTTAACAAGAAATAATGATGCGGTTCCGAGTAGATCTATTCTTTATTGTATGCATCGTTTAAACACGAAATTCTGTTAACACGAAGAAATATTTCGGTCCCCTCAGTTTCGTGTTAAACGAGTTTCACTGTATTCATAATCACACTTATCTTAGTCTGTTGTTTTAGCCTGTGACCCCACATAATAAATCCCTTCGCAACCCAGTTTGAGGTCACCTCCCAAGGGCCGGAAACTTGTGCTCCAGTAACTTGATGATTATCCTCAGATGTTCATGTGTCAAACTTATTCAAACTTCCTTGATATGTTATTTGAAAAATATTTTTTTTTAAAGGTGTGGGGGGAGGTGGGGGGGGAGGGAGTTCCAAAATCAACGTAGCGATATTAACAGATTTACATGTATAGATACATGTATTCATATTTTCATATTCTTCATGACTCTTTTTTCGAAACGATTCCCTTGTTGCAAATTGTTAAAAACAGTTCCCTCATTTGCCTGCACATTTCCGTGAAGTATTCGAAACTAGAATCGGCGCCCTGTAAAGAACGCACAACTCACAAAGTGTTGTTTTCTTTCTACTGACGGTTACTTCGACTTATTTCTAAACACATTAATAATAGTTATTTGTCGGTACCATTACTAGGTATACGCGGGGGAAAGGAAGCAACTCGTAGCACGTGACCAACCTCTCAACTAGCCATAACATTGTTGTTGTTGTTTAATTAATTAATTAATTACACAACAATACAAAACTGCCCTTTTATAGTACAATTCAGTTTATCATTTATTTCTTACTACATTAATTCTATCCCGGAAAGAGGAAAACTCCATTCCCCGTTTTCCCGGGGTAATCAAAACCCAGAACATGACAATTTACCGCTATTCTACAACAAGGTGTACGCCATCACAATGTGTAGGCTACAACACTAAAGGGAAGCCTTCAACTGTGACGCGTGGTTTAGTTGACACCAAGAGGCCATGTTTCTTAGAGGACCTGCTTCAGTGAAGACGTTTCCAGTCTAGTGCACACCACCACCTGTTTCAACTGTGGGGTAGCGGGTCGTCTTGTGTACAACTGCCATGGTATGACTTGACACAGTTTCTACAAGGCCAGGCCAGCCCCTCCGTTTGGACAGCGCTATCTCCCAGGCTCAGCTTGAGTGGCCGCTCAGTATTGGATTGGCTCTAGTCCAGATAGCGGGGTTCGCCCGATCAGTCTGACAGTAGTGCTGAGATTGTTTCTTGGAAGAAGTTCTAACTGAAAGTTTCCTATAAGTTCAGGAGGATTATTTCAACATTAGGTTAATTAATATCTGTCGACAACAACAACAAAAAAAATGTATTGTTTGTGTTGTGTCGCCAAGTAGGTTAGGAGTCAGCCGTCGCTTGTCGTTTGTGACTTAATAATCAGTGACTTAATGCCTTGATTGGGGATCTCTTTTTTGTGCCATGTCTGAACAGCCACACGATCGAGAACCTCAGCCCAATTTCAACGATGGCCCCACGGCCGCGCCAGAGGGTGAGAAATCTGGAACGTCCAACGATTCACACACCCAGGCTGACCCCTCTACCTCACGGGACAGAACGGACTCGGCCACCTCACGGGACAGAACGGACTCGGCCAGCGATCTGGCCAGTGGTACGACCAGCAGGCGTAGGCGACTGAGTGGGTGGATGCCTAGGAGTAAAGACATGCAGGAGTCTACCACAAAATCGGGATACGGTTGGACTATCAGGAAATGCAGTATTTGTGGTTCCAAGTGTAAGTACAGCATCTGTTCTCATGAGTCTTGGACTGTTTACATCAGTTAGTGGCTACTCGGGACTAAAGTCAGTTGGTAATGACGTGCGTTTGTTTATATACCGGTAGTCAGTAGTGCCGTTATGGTTAGTGCATGGGTCAGAGAGCATTGTGCAAACACCCGTGGCTGCTACACATTTCAGTTAAGTTATTTTAAGGCCAATTATAATTATGAGAATCTTGTTGATAGTATCTCGGGATGGATCCATTTCAAGTTTGTTTGCCTCTAGGAATGGCCTTGATTAAACGTAACAGACATGTCTAACAGTTGTAGTTGTAGGCCTATTAAACAATAACTATAGAATACACACGTTTACTTTAGCTTGGTATTCCGTGGTGACCCAGTGAGGACACTGATCAGGTTCATTGTGGGCTAATGCTCCCTTGGTTGGACATAACAGAAATGTCTTAATAGTATTCCTAGTTGTAGGCCTATTAAACCTATAGCATACAAATGTTGCAATTGTTTACCTAAGCCTTAGCTTAGTGTTCCGCGACCCAGTGACAATACTGATCAGGTTCAGTGTGGGCTAATGTCCCCCAGTCAGCATTTTCAAATAACGTATAAATTATGCATCTACATAAAACTGACTGGAAGTAGCCCCCCCACCCCCCCCCCCTTTTTTTATTTTTTTATTTTTAGAAATAGTCAATGCCCCAAGAGGTGCTCCAAGCCTTGGTTAAGTCATAGCTGGTCATGGCCATTGCATGCTTGCTTCACTTTCCTCATTGATTGCTCATGACATTAACAACAAACCGCACATCCAATCTATTTTTACCCCCCCCCCCCTTTCTCCCAAACCCTCATTAATTCTACTTGACATGTGAGTTGTCTGCCCCTAATCATTGAAATAAGGTAGATGACTTCATCTGGTTTAGCACTGTATTGTCATGTGTCAAAGTTTGGCATCATCCCCATGTGTAAACCCCCCTCCCCTCCTGGAATAACCAAAGTAAAATATCCACTGTCACAGAATGGCTTGCTCTCAAGGGTAAAACCCTTTCCAATCCACTGTTGTATGTTCTCCCTCTCTCTCACCAAGTGAGCTTACTCACTATCCCTGGTACAGGTCATGCCTGGCTAATCAGCTGTTAAGCTCAGATTTCACCTGCCACAAAAAGCTATGTTAGAAGAAAACAGAGAGTATGGTATGTGGAAAAAAAAAAAAATGAGAGTTAGGTTGAAGCAAGCAAGTCATTTGTTTGTATTTGACATAATTTATTTGTATCTGCAAAAACAATGGGGCATTAATGCTGCTGGTTAAATAAACCAAACCCCTCTTACTATTTGTACAGTTGAGGTTTATTAATATTAACATGTAAAAACAATGGGGCATTAATGCTGCTGGTTAAATGAACCAAACCCCTCTTACTATTTGTACAGTTGAGGTTCATTAATATTAACATGCATCTTTTTCTGCTGTGACAAGACACTCGTGCCAGAAGTGTCCAGACCCTCGTGCCAGAAGTGTCTTGGGTGGGTGCCACATGCTCCACTTAAGAGGAGGCAGGATGGTCTCCTTCCCACCCCTGTCCCATCAGATCTTTAGTGATTGATCAGTGGCACACCCATCTACTCTTAGATGGGACCCTGGTCACAGCTCATCTCTTGGACAGACTGGCACATTTAAACAATTTCATCTCATCTCATTGGCTTGTAGTTATGTTGGGAATTTATATGTTGAAGATGCAGTAATTTATTACACCTTACATGCCATGTATTGCACCTTACATGCCATTTATTACAGCATTTTTTTTTATACAATAGCAATTTGTAAAAAATAAAAAAAATGATTTTGATGATGAATGTGCTGGCAATTTAGATGTAGTTAGACATTGTCTTCGGGTTAATTAGCTAGCTTTAGTAAAACAGTACAGGTTCCTATATTTAAATAAAGGAAATACATTTCATGTGTCTATCCAGACAAAGTTAGTAAGTTTACTGCCGTACTTTCACGGTATATGGGAAAAAGTCATGTGTAGATAGTTTTAAAAAATGTTTACCATAGGCATAGACCCTATGTGGATATAAAATTGTTAATTGGAAGTTATGATAACAATTACACACAACAATTTGTAATAATGGTTTACTACTCAAAGCAGTTACTACCATACACCCTTGTAAAACTATTAAAGAATGGTCTCAACAAAACCATGCTGACTTTCTAAATTTAGATTGCCTACCAATCTCAGACTTTGGGCCAAATATTATTTTGAACAGACCAATGGGATTTCAGCTTCAAGGTGACCAACATTGAATTTATTGCACTGCCAGTTATAATTATCTAAATCCAGTGAAAAGCCATACAAAATCCTGTATGGCGGTACAATTTGGAAAACTTTTAAAACCCGTACAAGTACGGGAACCGTACAGATTGGCATGTATGCCGAATATTCCTGATTGGAATGTTGGGAATATTTATTTATTTAGCCACGCAAACGTGCAGGGGTTTAATGTCTTAATGTCAGAAATCAACAATGGTCATGAAAATAAACATATATATCTACCACACTCATTAATGATTATTTAACTACTTGACTAGTCTATTCCAATTTTAATATATTGTATAATCTTTAAAAAAAATTTTTTTTTTAAAGATATGTGTGTTGAATTTTAAAGGATTTACATTTTTTATATTATTCTTACCACCTATTATATTGGTTTTAAAATTACTCATCTTACTTATGATTTGTTGTCTGTTACATACTTGACCCACTTGACTGAAACAATATAAAATACTAATCTAGCAACTTGTCATTGTTTAAAGTTTGTAACCTCTTAAAAACTATCCAAACATTCTGTTTATTTCTCAACTAGAAACATAGTATTTCTCACTCAACACAGTGATTATAATATGATATGGACTAACCTGGTAATTGTAATATGACATGCACTAACCAAGTGATTATAATATGATATGGACTAACCTGGTAATTGTAATATGACATGCACTAACCAAGTGATTATAATATGATATGGACTAACCTGGTAATTGTAATATGACATGCACTAACCAAGTGATTATTATAACATGGCATGTAGCACTCAACACAGTCAATATAAACACACCCATTTTTCTCCCAGTTCCCTTTGAAAGTTATCTAGGCCTGTACTTGGTTGTTTAGTGCAATGTTGATCCAAATCTTTATTGAATCTTATTTCATCGAGGTATATTGCTTGGTCAATTTTCAGCATCATGTCCACATGTGTTGCGAGCTCCAACGGTCATTGCCATGGTGGGGCTTCCGGCCAGAGGCAAAACCTACATCTCCAAGAAACTGACCAGGTACCTGAACTGGATTGGAGTGACCACAAAAGGTGAGCTGGGAATAAGTTTGGTGGAGTTTAGGTCATAGTTGACACAAGTTATCGGTTGTTAATCACAAGTTCATATCTATTAAAATAGAAAATAAAGTTATTTCTAAAAATAATTAATGCTCTTAACAAGAATCAGAGAATCAGAAGCTGTCAATGTTAGGCAGTTTAGCTATTAAATCGTTTTTTAAAATTCCCAACATTTACAAATCATAAATAAAATTTAGCATGTGAAGTGAAATTATTTTTTTTAAACATTTTTTTTGTTGCAAGTATTTAATGTTGGTGAATATAGACGAGCCAAGACTGACAAATATCGCAACCATGAGTTTTTTAAGCCCGAAAACAAAGAAGCACAAGAGCTGCGAAGGTAATTGACAGTATTAATTCATTTCTTTAGTAATGCTGAGCACCAATCAATAGAAACTATTTATAGCATGTCCTCTGATAGCACCGTTTATAGCCGCCATTATCAGAGAAGAGCTTAGTCTAGCATAGTGAAATCTCCAATCCAGATATGTCATTTGCAGTCTTATGAATTTCTATTCAACTGTGGAAGAAATATCTTTGGAAGATAAATATTTATTAGGCCCACATATTTATGGTTATGGTGAACACATTTTTGTGTTCTCTGTCCTCTATGTATTATATCTGTCATCAATAATAAGTAATGCTGTTTACAATGTCTAAATAAAAAATCTTTTTCAATTTAAATTTAATTGATCCTTTAAATAACTAATGTTAGTCTCTTCTGGTTAAAGAAAGTTGGATGTACCCAAGAACAATGCCTAACTATAAAACTGATTAGACATTGCAGTAATTGTTGCAAACAGATGTTCTGTCATATACCCATTGATTCAGGCCATTAGTAATGCTGTTACCCTTTCCTCAACAGCCAAGTGGCCATGCTTGCTATGGAAGATGCAGCCAAATATCTGGAAGAAGGGGGAGGGGAAGTGGCTGTAAGTAATATTTGAACTTCAGGAAAACAAACTTCTAGGTCATATGGGTGAGCTTTTTCCCAGAAGTGTTGAACAGTTCTATTGCAAATGATTCTGTTAAAATGTTGGGTTTCCCTGTGGTTTTGTTCTATTAATTTGAAGGTAAACTTGTTTGAACTATTAGTTGTGTTATTCAAAAGATGAATTGAAAGATTTATTTTGTTCATTGTCAATGATCTTGTTTAAGTGAGCTAAAATTGAAGTAATTTTATTTGTGTTTCTTAAAATACTTCTTTTAATGTAGTAAATTACTTATTTCATCACTTACTATGACTTCAAACTATATCAATGTTATTCTAATTATCATCTATTTTATATTCTGAAATGTGAAAGATAAATTCAAATCATTTAGTCACTGTGCTGACAGCAAAGCTTAGTGACGCAAATGCGCACCGAGCATTGCCCCATTGGCACATATTTCTGGCGGCTGGATAACAACAGGGATCCTACCTGCCGGCATTGCAGCCTGGTCCCGGAGACACTAGCGCACCTGTTGACCGAATGTCCCTCTCTAGATGTCCCGGGGGGAGCCAGGGCGGTCGGAGAGCCCTTTTTGAGGAAAATGTTGTATGGCTCAGCTCAGCAGATGGAGCTGGTAGCCAATTTACTAACCGGGGTCATAAGAGAGTAATCTCAGACCTTCACCAGAATATGTGTGTTAGTTAGTCACTGTGCTGCTTCCAACATTTAAGTTTCTTCAATTGTTAAGTCATTTTCTTAACTCTATGTTAGTGCTGGCTTTATAGTTAAGGCCCTTCAAAAAATTAGTTATACAATTTTAGACCCTTTAACTGTTAAAAATATCCCAAATATAGATTAAAAACTCAAATGTTATATATTTATAAATTAAAGTCATCATTGATATATTAATTAAATTAAAGTTATCATTGAAAATTAAACTTTGATTACTGATATGTTGTCATATTTTCTCAGGTAGTAGATGCCACAAATACTACAAGAGACAGACGTGCCATCCTAGTAAAAATGTTCACAGTCGACAGGAATTTCAAACTGTTTTTTGTTGAGTCTGTATGTGACGAGCCAGCCATTATAGAAGCCAATATATTGGTATGTATTGTAACAGTCAGAAAAAGAAATTATTTTGGTAAAAGAAATTGAGTAGCTGTTTTCCTGACCCAATATAAAGACCAGCATTTTGTCACATTATAAAAAATTGCATTCACATATTTTTTTAAATTTTAAATTGGTGCAAAATCTGATAAAATTTATCCAAGGTGGTGCTAAGATATTTGTAGAACACTTTTTGGTCTTAATATTCTTTTATGAAAAGTAGCTCACAGTAAGAGCACATTCTTGACTACTTGTATCTACTCAATTTAACAGTGTAAGAAGAATTTATTTAAGGAAACAGGGAAAATGGAGGTTCAATTTAAAAAAACTCTTATTTCCTAGCTGCCTTCACCTGTAGAAAGGATTGTACATTTGTTTATGTGCAGTTGTTCGGATTTTCTTGACACAACTTGTTTCAGTCACATAATATTTCATCATGCTCTTGGATTGTATGCCACAAAGTTGGTCTTGGCCAGAATTTTGACCCTTTGAAACAAAATTTGTCAAGCTTGACCTTTCGTTGACAGGAAGTAAAAGTGTGCAGCCCCGACTATGAAGGGATGGACAAAAACACAGCTTTAGAAGACTTCCTGAAGCGAATAGAGCATTACAAGACTGAGTATGAAGCACTGGACTACAACCATGACAAAGATATATCCTTTATACAAATCTTCAACCAGGGGGAGAGGTTCATAGTCAACAAACTGGCAGGTAAACCTAAACCTTTCAAATAATGCCGGGAATATTCTGTTGTTTTTTTTTTTTTGTGTACAAAAATAATTTTAAAATCAGTCTCTCATTAACTACAAAAAGGAAAATTACTTAAATATTTCTTAACTTCCAAAATTTGGCATTGATTTCGATTTAAAAAAAAAAATAATAATAATTTATTTAAAGAGATATTTACACTTCCCATTTAAATTTATCAATTAAGTGGATTGTTACCTATAGACTTGTTCTGAAATGCTTTAAACTTGTAGCCTATAAGTTTCAAAAAATTTTGGGGGTATTTTTTTCTTTCTTATTCAGGTCATCTACAAAGTAGAGTTGTATACTACTTAATGAATATACATGTGCTTCCAAGAACTATTTATTTGACTAGAGTGAGTATAAATGACACTATTGTTACTTTTCAGTTACAAGAGATACTTTTATTGATTTTTTATTATGTGTAAAGTTTTTCCCTTGAAGTGTGCTCAAATAAATGGTTCAATTTTTTTCCTTCAGCATGGTGAAAGCAAGATGAATTTACAGGGACGAATAGGAGGAAATAGTGAGCTGAGTGAACAAGGACACAGAGTGAGTACTTCATTAATAATAAGAGGTAACAGTGAGCTGAGAGAAAGCTTCATTTATAATTCTTTACCTGTTTAAAATCCAGAGCCTTTTGGATTGATTGCACTAGTGAGCTCAGTAAGATAACTCTTAATGGGCGGAGGTAAAGTCCGTAAAAGAAATAAACCTCATTGACCCAAGTCTGAAGACAGCAACCCACCTGGTGTGGGGTTATAAATGGCGGACCATTTGCTATGTTAAAAAAAATTAATAAATGCACTGATATTGAATTTTTTTTTCTTCTCATCTTGTACATTCAGTATGCAGAAGAACTTGCCAGGTTTGTGAAGAATGAAAACATCCCCAACTTGAAGGTGTGGACCAGTGAACTGAAGCGAACCATCCAAACGGCCCGTTACATCGATGCACCACAAGAGCACTGGAAGGCTCTCAATGAAATTGATGCGGTGAGTCTTAGTTGTTTTGTTAGCCATTGTGCATGTATTGTTAGTATTACTGTAATATACCTCTGACTTTTAGATGTTCACACTTTTAATGCATTCTTCTGTATTTTAAATTGCTTTTGTTTAAAGAAATCACTTAAGATAGTGGTTCCCAACATTTTTTGACTGGTGTAGCCCCTTTTCAAATCAAATTCTGTGAGGGACCCCCTTAGGCGTACCCAATGTCTTAGAAGCTAAAGGTGTTATTTTATATCCTGGAGCGGCTGCGGAGCCCCTGAGAAGTTAAAACGGAGCCCTTAGGGCTCTGCAGAGCACAGGTTGGGAACCACTGACTTAGGAATTTCCAAAAGGAAAAAATATATCTTATTTGCCTTTATTTGTGCTTGATGTGTTATAACTGATTACTTTCAACTTTGTTTTTGTGAATTATTCTGTTATCATAATTATTCCAAAATATGGATTTTGGAAGTGAAAAAAGTACCGGGGTATCAATTTATATGGACCAATATTAATAAGCTAAATAATTGACAAAATGAAATTAAACAATTTAATTTTAAATAGGCCTATATATTGTTTTTTTATTTAAATTGTTATGTGGTATAAATGAAAAGTTAGTGCACAAAGTTTCAGGTAAAAAAATAAGAGGTAATTTAAAACGTCATCATTTGTCTAATAAACTCTGAATTGTTTGTAACCATCCCCTCCCATAAAACATGAACTCAGTAACTCAAAATATTTTTTAAGTGTTATTATGCTTAAAAAATGCAATGAGTATATTGTCTTGCATGTTCCATCCCATTTTTTTGAAAATGTATTGGTATAGGAAAATAAATACGTAAAAAATTCCATCCACCCTCAAAGGGCTACTATTGTCTTTTCATATTTCTTCAAATTATTTACCGAAAGCTTTATAATTCTAATAATTTGAAGTACCTGTTTAGGATTATCAATTCTGTATTCCTTTTTATTGCCATCTATTTGATTAGCATGAATGTTGTTTGCTTAATTTTTTGATTCGCACATACATGCCTATGTGGATACATTTCAAAATTGTTACTTTCATTGTATCTGTGGAGGGTTCCATTTGTTGATAAAAGCTATCCCTTTCAGGGTATTTGTGAAGGCATGACATATGAGGAAATCCAGGAGCAATACCCCCAAGACTTTGCTGACAGAGACCAGGACAAGTATCACTACAGATACCCCAGTGGGGAGGTACTGTCCTTAACAAAACAACTGCCTGTCCTACCTCACAATCTGTCACACTACAAATACCCCAGTGGGAGGAACTGCCCTAACTATTGATACACTTGCCTGTCCGACCTCACTATTTCTCACACTGCAGATGTGGCCTTGGCCTTCAATGTCTCCCTCATGTACTTCTAAAGCTTGTTGTTTTGCACTGAGAGAACTGACATTTGCTTTATACCATTGAACCAAAAGAATCTACTCAAGAAATTGTATCGCTTATGGAAAAAAAGAAATCTGGAGGGGGGTGCGCTTTTAGATTGTAATTTTGTGTACCATAAAATATATTAATTAGCTTAAGTTATTCATTTAAAATTTATTTAAACTTACTAAAAATCAATCCAGTTTAGGTCAAAGGCTTTATGGAAAACTTTAATTAATTAGGATATTATAATATTTAAGGACTTTTGTATTGTAACACATTTTTAAAAAAAATTAAATTGAAGTTATCTTTCAATTAACTAATTTATAGAATGTTTTCTTGTTGTAAAATTACATCTTCTTTGAGTACTTCTTCTATAATCTGTAATATTTCCTTGAAATTAATTTTTATAATTAAAACATAATAAGATGAAGCTAAAGCATATCAGATTTATGTTAAGAATAATGTAACTTTTTAAAATCTTTCAACAAATCATTATCTGTAATGTTCCTTGGCTTTAAAGTAAAACTTTGATTAAGACCAAGAGAGTGAAAAATAACATTAAACCAGCTTAAAGAATTCAGACTTGAGAATTACCAATATATATTTTATTATTATTTTAATTCTATATTTCAGTCTTATCAAGATTTAGTTGCAAGATTGGAACCAGTCATTCTTGTAAGCATATTTTATAAATGTTTGGTAGTGATGAATTGTACTTGAGTTAATCCACACTTGCCTTAATCAGAAGTAGAATGTGCTAATTGAAATCTTTAGTGATGTACACATTCATATCTATAGTGATGTACCCATATTGAAATCTATGGTGAGGTACACATTAGATATATTGTGTTTTTAATTTTAATTTATTTTTTAATATTTCATCAAAAAATTTTACCCTATCTCTTTCCTTTTTTGTAAGTTGCAATTTCAATATATAAAAATAATTTATTTGTAAAAAATGTGTTCTTAGTCATTAGATTTGAGATATGTTTTATACGTTACTTTTAAACTTGGCTTGTTTAGGGGGGAAAAATTGACTGTGCCCAAATGCCTTCAGAAAGACAATTGAATAACAGATATATCAATACATTTTAGACAGAAAATAATTGTGAAATCTATCTTTGAATTATTGCTTGCATTTTTTTATTGTTTGTTGCTCTTGTTTAGTCTCATAGAAACATTATGAAATCAATTGAACATTTTAATTTGTTAAACCAGGAACTTGAACGTCAGGAGAATGTAATGGTTATATGTCACCAAGCTGTCCTACGTTGTCTGTTGGCCTACTTCCAGGACAAGAGTGCAGGTAAGTAAACAACAACAACATATTTTCAAACCCTGGTTTGGTTTCACCCCACACGCAGCACAATTAACAACAGAGAGCCCATAATTGCCTTGGCTTCCTTGTGGACAATGTTTACAAGTTTAGATCAGAATTTAGTTCATTAGAAATACTTTGTCTGTACGTGTTAAAATTTTTAAGGTACCGTGCAAATAATAAGAAAATTTCAACAGTTTCAAGAATTTGAATTAAAAAAAAAAAACAGTAAGATTCCTTTAACCATTTTGAGCCTTGATTTAACGAGAAGTTCTGGCATTTGATGGCTTCTTTGTTTTAATGCACAGCTTAAAGCTTTATTCACTTTAAGCATGAACACCTTTCTCTTCATTACACATTCCACCCCACCTGCATTTTGACTTTATTATGATCAAAGTATTTTCCCCCATCTAACAGTTTGTAGAGAAGTTTATTAAACAAGATTTGTTGGTAATAATTGCATGCAGGCCTAATTCCTATGGTAGTTTTCATCAACTCTAAGTTATTTTTGTTTGTGGAAGGTTTAATAAGCAGTAAAACTAAACTAATAATGAATAGTTTAAGAAGAAAAATTAAAAGACTTATCAGTATTATCTTTAGATCACATTACTTTTTTTTTAAAACACCATTGAAATAAATAGTGGAATCATCTTTCGGAAATAATTAAAATAGAGCAAAAAATGTAAATCACTATTAAGATATTCGATAGATCAAAGGATAAAAAAAGTCATTTATAAAAAAAAAGGTTTTAATTGTCAATAAACTCATGATGTTAAAAGGCAGCAATTGAGCAATGAGGTCTTCATATTGAATTTTGGACAGTTCATGAATGCTCTTACATTAGATTTCTTGAGTGTGTTTCCAGTGTTTCTAAGTTTTTTTCTTTGGGATTAGTTGTTATTTTATTGTCATTGATCTTTATAGCAACCTAGCTCCTTAGATCTTCTTTTTCTAATCTTAACAATGTGTAAATTCACAGAACTAATAATAACATCCACCAACACCTAATAAACTATTTTTGGTTCTATAATAAAATAAATAAAATAACTTACTTATACAACACTAACAATTGACACACAGGTTTTATCAGCTTTTTCTTTAGAGTAGATCTAATGTGGTTTTAAAATAATCTTTCAATGAATCATTTTCTATAAATTTCCTCTGCTTTAAAAGAAAAACTTTAAAAAATGAATAAATAGTAATAATTTAATTGTACTGTTTTTTCTTGTTATGACTAAAATCCTTTTTGGTTATTTCAAGTGGCCTTGTCAATAATAAATTTTTCTGGTGTAGAAATGAGAAATTTAGAGGAATGCAGTGTTATCTGAAGTTTAATCTTGTCCAGGTCGGCCATTGTTTAAACCAGATATTTTTTAGGTTGTTCGCAATTTTTGTGAATTATTAAATATTGATATTTTCTTTTTTTAGCCTTAAAAGATCACTTTTTCTTTTGTCACAAATTAATTCACCCACTACAAGCTGCAATAAAAGTTCCATGAAGGCATATTAAAGCTCATAAAATGTTCCAGCCTTATTTGTAAAAAAAATACACAAAAAACAACATAATATAGTTTGACTTATTTAGCGATCTACTTTTATTTCATACTGAAGCTTACACTCATAGGACTTTGATTTATCACATCAGTAGAGTTAATTTGTGGTTTTGGTCATTACTTCCAATATAATTTGTTTTCTTTCAAAATATTGTCTAAAATAAAAAGAAATTTAAATTTGTTCACTTGTAAAGAAATTTAATTTTGAGTTGAATTAATTTAAAGCAAATTACAAGAATTGAAACATTTTCTTTACCGTATTACAATTTTTTATAAATATCATAGATTTGATCTCATGTCAAATTAAAAATTAAGTGCTGTTCAGTCGAGTTAATTCAATTATAAGTAAATTTGACTAAAAGATTGAGCATTATAGCATATAGACTCTCAAAGTTTAAATACTCCTTTATTTTGTTTGTTCTGCTGGTTTTACAAATTTTAATTTGAACAAAGAACCTCACTGGAGCATTTTTAGTAATATTGGTGCCATTCTAGTTAACAAGCAATAACTTCATCATTGTGGCCAAAATAGAACTGTGGTATGCTTTAGTAACCCAATGAAACTAGCACTGGAAATGTTCTACAAATTGTGTGCTTGTCTCCCTGAGCAGTGTTTGTAGAAGCCCTGCTGTAGTTATTCTAGAACCTTGCATCATTCATCATGGCTCTCGTGCTAGATTTTAGTGCAGTTTTTAAAGGCCAGTTTCAGTCTTATTGATCTTTTTAAATTTCTAAAATATAGAAACATTTGCTGTGGAATGTTTTTAAGCCATAACTGCACCAGTTTGTGATAGTCTACGATGATACATATGTGTAGTAGTAATATGTGTGCTAGAAAAATATGGGTGTATTTTCATTTTTAATAACTTTTTTTTTTTTTTCTTTTTGGCTCTTGATATGATTTTTAATAGCTTTTAAAATGTTCCTTTAAAGCCTCAATTTCAGAATGTATTTAATATACTTTGGCTACTTTTAATGTGTAATAGTAATATGGTGTGTGCTGACCTTATTTTTTTACTATACATAAGCATGAAGTAATGATTTGCTGTTGGAATCAAGCATTATTTATAAGATTCATGACTAAAAGATCTATTAGCATCTAGAATATTTTCAAAGCTGTTCATTTTTTTTCTGCCTAAAATTAACTAGAGCAAAACAATCGGGACAAGCTAAAGGACATGCCATGTTTCTGTTATTGTGTTATTATTTATAGACAAAAGCCCCCATGTGGATTTCCCTAGTGAGACGGTTGTACGGCTACGAATCTCGGGTAATGGGTGTGTGCAGGAACAAATTCCACTGCTCAGGTGGGACATCTATCTGTCATTTCTTCCATCTTTGTCTCACTCTATGTGTGTAGGTTTTGTTGTCCATAATTTACACTCAATGTCATATCAATTAAACTCAAACAAAATAATTAATGAGGATAACCAAACTAAATTTTTCTAATTATAATAATTATTAACATTGATTAGCTCTATAAATTAATTATTAACTTGTAAAGTACATAAAAATGTAATGATGGGATTCTAACCTGATAAATGTGGACCTGGTTCAAAAAGCAGTTCCTAACAGAGAACCAAGAAGAGATACCAGTGTTCAGAGAACTGAATGTCATAGACAAATGTATATCCCAGAATTCACTATTTTCTCTGTTATTTGAATCAACCAATTCGGACCACTCACATTTGTTCCACTGTTATCTGTTGTTGCTAATAGCGATATTGTTCATGATTGACAGTGAGGACAACTCAATTTTAGGTAAGGGTTCGCAGCTGTTATTACAGTGGGATAACAGTGCATACGAATGTTTGACTCAAACATTCTGGAGCAGTTTAGCTTCTTGGTTTGTAAGGTGTCAGCTCAATTTGGCCCACTGCCTCTTTTTGTATGGCTCACAAGCTAATAATGGATTTTACATGTTCAACTGAAACTGAAAATCTTCAAATGACTTTCTTCAATATTCTTTTCATAATATGGTTTTGAACATTTAATCTGTTTATAGATTTGGCTCATAGAATGAACAATATGTAACAAAGTACTGACAACCAATATACAAAGAAAACGATACCAAAGCTAGTGATACCAACAATATTCAATTTAATTATACTATTAAATTTCTGTAAAAATACAAATTCAATAGATACAGAAACAAAAAAACTATATCAACTTCCAGCACAGCAAGTGAAAAGGTACAATACTCGAAAAATATAAATATTAATTCAAACACACACACACACACAAAGAGAAGTATCTTGCAATTATATAACGTCTTGTAAAGGTCTAGAAATATTAGCAAGAATCTCTCCCTGCTGGGAAAGCTTCCGGTCTATATATATAAGGATTAAATCAGAACCCTCTAGGAAAGAAATTCTAGAAATTGTCACCTGAGCATTGTTTAGAAGAAATAGAACATATTCAAACGTCAACAACCTTTTCCCAATCAAGGGAGGGATGGGTAAAAAAGGCTATACACTTCATCTGTGGCGTCAATATCAACACAAAATGGGGTGGGGGGGGGGAAGAGCCTTAGCTCTACATTGAAGTAAAAAGTAAGTCAATACATTGGTTATACTATAACAAATTATTATTTGACAGTGTTCCCATCTTAGGTACTCATTATAAGCACCTTTGGCTACCCCACCGACCCTAATATATTTATAATTATGTTTATTAACCTATTGTTTGTGAAACAAAAGCATTTATTTAGATAGAAAGAATATCCACACAAAAAATGTATACCTTCAAATTACAAAAAAAAATTCTAGGCTGCTTTTCCCCTCCTACCTATTGCCTTCATTTAACCTCCCAAAAATGCTTAGCTTCACTTTAATATATATTTTAAAATATTTTTTAAACTACTGGCTTCTAGGTATTGACATTCCAGCTTTCACAAGTCTGACATCGGTAGTATTTTTTTTAAGTCTTTCACTAAAAAGCCTTCCTACCATAACTCTTGCCAGGTTGCATTTCTATCATTGACACCTCCCTACTTTTCCTGTCAGCGGAACTGAGGCTTTATCACCCCCTGGCTTGTTTCTAATGTTCATCCACATGTAAGCTAAGGTTTGCTACTACTCTGATTGTATTTCCTATGACTAGTTTAACTGATTATTGACCAATACTTTTATTTGTAGACCACACGTACTTAGTTTGCCATAATCCAGCTCTTTTTTCCCCACCATTTTCCCTCTGAATTGTTAGTGTAGTCTTATTTTTTTAACCGGTTTAACTAGTTATTCTGGTAGATCACATTTAATGTTCCTGACACTGATTTGGTTATTTATAGCAAAACTGAATGTAAAACTAGATTTTATTTTGAGCCAGTTTTCATTGATAAAACATGGTCAGAAGATAAAAACAGAAATAAAATTAATAGGAGATCTTGTGATTACCAATGCAAGAGAGACCTTGTAATCAGAGAGATTTTTTATACCATAGTGTAAGATGGGGTCAGTAACTTTGATGGAATTATAAATAAGCATAAAAATTGATAGTGCATGCTGGAATACATACAGATGGAAGAATGTATGGACATGCATTTAAGTGTGTATGGTGTATGGACCCATGATATGGACCAACATGTGAGTTGAGTGGTCATGTTGGTAAGGACCAACTTGTGAGTTGAGTGGGTCTATGGTAAAGACCAACATGTGAGTTGAGTGGGTCTATGGTAAAGACCAACATATGAGTTGAGTGGCTCTGTGGTAAAGACCAACATATGAGTTGAGTGGGTCTGTGGTAAAGACCATCATGTGAGTTGAGTGGGTCTATGGTAAAGACCAACATGTGAGTTGAGTGGGTATGTGGTAAAGACCAACATGTGAGTTGAGTGGGTCTGTGGTAAAGACCAACATGTGAGTTGAGTGGGTCTGTGGTAAAGACCAACATATGAGTTGAGTGGGTCTATGGTAAAGACCAACATATGAGTTGAGTGGGTCTGTGGTAAAGATCAACATGTGAGTTGAGTGGGTCTGTGGTAAAGACCAAAATTTGCAGTGGGTCTATGGTAGGCCCAACATGTGAGTTAAGTGGGTCAGTGGTAAAGACCAACATGTGAGTGAGTTGAGTGGCTCTGTGGTAAGAACCAATTTGTGAGCATTGTACAAATAATCAGCTAAATAATATGTACTATAAAAACATAGATTAAAAGTTAAGCTTTAATCCACTTGTATACGAATTATCTTGTGTTAAAGAATAAATCTAGCAGAAGGGAAGCAGCTGATGTTAAGTGGGTATTATCAGTGGTATCATTAGTACTGTTAATATATTTAAATTCATTCAATATATAGTTATGCTGTACATTGATAAAGGACCCACATCTTTAAACATTTTTGGTTGTTGGAACTTTTCAAGGGAAATATTTTCAAATGCTAGGTCACCTAACTAAAAAAGTAAATGCCAATAAATTAGATAAGATACACAAATAATAACTAGATCAATAACAAGACAATATCAATGAATGTCTTCTACAAGCATAACTGTGCAGGTTTTCAGTTGCAAAAACGTCATTTGTAGAAACTCATTTGATGTCTTGCGCTTGATACCAAGTTTTGATGCATGTCTTGAACATGCCTCTTGATAACTCTTCCTGTAGCAGCCTGTCTGATAGAGACTTGAGTGTTGTCTAGATTGTAACCCTACAGACATCTCACTGAGTTTGTGGATTGTATATTGTAGAAGCTGAGAAGAGTAGTCAGAATGACGACGACGATAGCTCTTATCTATTTAACCTAATCTGAAGTATAGATTATTGGATTACCCAAAAATTAATCATAGTTTAAATGGTTTCACATCAATTGAAGTACCCTCAAAACTTGACCAAAAATGAAGTATTAAACAACGGTAAATGTAGTATGCAATCTTCTACTTGTAGTACTGTAGACAACTTAAAACTAGCCTGGCAGTTTGGTCTGTCCAGTCTCAAATATTTCTTATCTTTATGTGACATGATAATATTGTCATTATATGAAGTTGTCTAATCAAAAGAATGTTTAAACCAGTGTTTCACAAACTTGATTGGGCCAACAAGCACCCCTACACAAACTTGATTGGGCCAACAAGCACCCCTACACAAACTTGATTGGGCCAACAAGCACCCCTACACAAACTTAATTGGGCCAACAACCACCCCTACACAAACTTGATTGGGCCAACAACCACCCCTACACAAACTTGATTGGGCCAACAACCACCCCTACACAAACTTGATTGGGCCAACAACCACCCCTACACAAACTTGATTGGGCCAACAAGCACCCCTACACAAACTTGATTGGGCCAACAACCACCCCTACACAAACTTGATGGGCCAACAACCACCCCTACACAAACTTGATTGGGCCAACAACCACCCCTACACAAACTTGATTGGGCCAACAAGCACCCCTACACAAACTTGATTGGGCCAACAACCACCCCTACACAAACTTGATGGGCCAACAAGCACCCCTACAAACGTGCTAACAATTAATAGCTTGCTAAGGTGGCCTCATGAAATCTTTTGAGTTCTTGATTTATTCTGGCAGCTGGTAAGACTTGAGTTGTTGTTAAGTGTATGTGTGTGTTGGAGTTATCTCACTCAAGGTTTACTTCCTCACACAGAAACAACTGCCTGGATTGGCTAACTAGTCCATATCAGCCAACTTAATAGCTGGGGGTAGCCATAGACATAATTGGAACTGAGGACCTCGTTATGCTAAATTGTACAGATACATCAATGACTCCACGTTATTAACTGTGCTAAAATATTGATTCAGGTAGCTACAGCAACACCTTCCTCTTCTTTGCACCCACTAAAGCATCAAACCGCTCCCCCAGGGAGCACTAGAGCCCACTTTGAGAAACATTGGTACAAACATAAATGGTTAAAAGTTTATTGTTTGCAAATCATCAATAAATATACTGGTACATCACTGCCTACGTTTTGTATAAAAAGAAGTTTACATATAGTATAATCTCCATTGACCTCAAGTAAACACAATGGAATTAGTGCTTAATATAATATGTTTATGTTCAATTTATATTTACATGATCAATATTTTGCTCACCTCACTAAGAAGTTTGATCATCTTACAGACAATCTTCCATATTTGAAAGTGCCTCTTCACACAGTCATCAAACTAACCCCGGTAGCTTATGGTTGTAGAGTTGAATTTGTTGCCCTTGACGTGCCTGCTGTAAACACTCACAGAGACCGTCCTATGGTAGGTCAACTCAATTATAAAACTGTTCCCTTGCGTGTAGATAAGAATAAGCCATCTGTAAGATTCTTTTAGATTTACATTACACAAATAAATGTTCTGTCCTATAAAATGATGTCATCTATTGGGCATACCTCTTAAATATTCATAGACAATTGTAATAAAGAGAATTATTTCTCAAAAATTATTGTACAGCCTGAATTAAATATATTAAATGTAGATCTGACATATTGCGAAAGTTGCAAATGCAACATTGTCAGAAACAACTTACCTCATTTTTTTAAAGAGCCAACATATTTGTATGTTCATTTTATTCATTGGAGCTAGTTTTATATTATGATGGTTAGGTATTAACCTATTCATGATTACTAGGTTTAAATATAATACATTGGCTAGGTTTAATTCAATTAATCATTTCTAGGTTTAAATGTAATACATAATGTTACCTATAATCATGTTAGTTTTGTTTATATATAATCATGTTGGCTTGGTTTAAATATAATCATTATGGTTAGATTTAAATAGAATCATCACATGAGCCATAGCATTTTTTAATGTATTTTACCTAGTATCTGGAAATTTGTTTGAAAGAAATGTCGCAGGAAAATTGATCGACGGAAGTTTGATGGCGCAGAAATTTGAGGGCGCAGAAATTTGATCGAACTGAAGTTTGGTCAAACTGAAGTTTGGTTGAATTTTTTTTCAGTTCACACGCTCAAATTTTGCGTCAAATTTCTTTTTGAACTAACTATACTACATAATAATAACAACAAACTAATGCGTTCAAAAAGAAATTTGAAGAAAATTTGATCATGTGAGCTGAAAAAAAAATTTGACCGCACTTCTGTTAGATCAAACTTCCGTTTGATCAAATTTCCGTCAATCAATGTTCAAACAAATTCCGGTAACCATTTTACCTTAGTCGACTATACCAATATAGTATGTTTTCTGTTTCAGAATGTTAGAAGAACACGTTCAACCTGTGAGGCATTGGAGACTGTGCCCAACCACGAGTGAGCAAGCTGCACTCACGGCTGGCATTGGGTAGTGGACCTAAGTTATACCAGTTCTCACGCTATCCCAGCACAAGCAGTTAACAAAAATATCACACTTTGTGTGATGTCAATCACACTTTGTGTGCTGTCAATGTCAATCATAACTTAATTTACTTACAAGATAAAACTACTAATAAATCCGTCTGAGAGTAATAGATCTCTGGACTTTTCTAAGATGCCCTTAGCCGTCAATCAACTGTAACTTGAATGTTTCTGTTGCTATTTATCTTGATTTAAACTTAACTGAAAGCTAATGTGATAAGCAAATGTAACACTCTGCTCGGCAGAAAATTTAAACATGATTATGCATCAAAAAAAGATTTAATGACCTCTAACCTCATGAACTGCCTACTCTGGTCATAATCTTCACTTTATCAGTTTCTGAATTTAGATATTACTAAAATGTTAAGAAGGTTTTTCAAATATACCTGAACATAGGAAGTTTAGTGCAAACAGTAATTCTTATTTGATGATTCTCCAGTAGGAATGCTTGTCTAGTGGTAATCAGCACCAAATAAATCTAATGGTAATCAGCACTAAATACATTTAATTTCACTGCCTTTTTGTTTTTATGATACATTTATCAGAAGGCGTAACACGGCCATCTACATTCCTATGGACTACACTCAGAGATTACTCCAAAAATAAATGCAATAGTGGTCAGCTACATGTGTTTATCTTGTTACACAACTTGAACATGTCATGCCAAAAATTCACTCCGGCTAAATATTTATATTTGTATTTATATCATATAGTGTGTAAGGCTTCCATGTGAATTGACGAAACGGCATAATTTACATTATTGCTCCAGCTCTATGTATCCCGTGGGATGCTGCTATAACTCATGTTGATCTTTAAAAAGTTACTCTCTTACCAGAAGTAGAGGAGCTAACATATGCATCTGTAATATTAGATAATCCTCATCCTGTGTTTGTATTTATGAAGTTTGATTGTGTGGAAACATTAGTTGATTTTGTTTGGATTGATTATGTGATTGAATTCAAAAGCCAAAGAGAATGGTTGTAAGCAAAGTCATTTAAAAATGAATGCTCAGGTATTTTCTTTATAAAAATAACTAAAACCAGATGCAGGATATCTAAAGGAATTCTCCCTGAAGCTTTTAAGTCTATTCTGAAGTTTACGTTCTCAGTTGGTAATGTGTGTTGGGGAAAATAAGACTCGCAAACATCATTCACTTAAATCAACTGGCCAAAATTAGTACTGTTTCCATTGAAAGTTAATCCAAATATAGTTAAGTCCTAAGCATATTTTTCTCACATGTACATCTATCATCTAGACTTAATAATTTGCTGTATCACAACAGGGGGCATAATTTGATGTACAGACTTTTTCCACCACATTAAAAATGGAATTTAGCACCGTTCTCATATTTTTAAATGAATTATGTATGGTACTTTTTTGAAAATCATGCTGCAGTTGTTGGAAAATTCAAGTATAATGTTATTATTAAAAGTTAAAATATTGTTTAGTCTATATCTTCACTCAAGGACAGACATTTCTCGCTTGCTTTCAAATGTGATATGTTCATTTTGTTTATAGAAAAAGGTACATCTGCTTATCATGTTAATGGTTTTGAATTATACAAATGGTATTATCCTCTCTGGACTTTTTCTCTCAAAAATCAGAAGTTACATATCCAGTTTTTAATATTGAGTATAAATCATTGTGTGTTTGTTTCATTGAGTATCTGAATTAAGTTTTTTGATTAAATTATTGTTTCAAACTCTCAAAATGTGCATAATTTGTCCAAAATTAAACCTCTTGTTTGAATATTTTATAGACCTTAGTCTCTTGCCAAATATATATAAAGAAATGGTCTTATTTACATTATATTATGATATATCTAGCGAAGGAGTATCTCTATATACAATATTTTCTATAATGTTTTATGCAAGCACCAAGTTAATTTACTTAAAGAGATGCAGACATAATTTGAACCAATAAGGGTTTTTATTGAACTATTCATCGAAGCAAATGTTAACAGGTAATTGTACAAAATTTAACAGACATTGAAATGGTGACATTTTCAAAATACATGTATTGTAGTTTAGAATGCATAAGATTTAATCAGTATTCATATGTATTTCTTTGCATACTGTTTAAGCACTGGATACACACTCATTTTTCTTTAATTATTAATTTTGTATACACACATAACTGGATTTTGAAAATAAAATTTATCGTAGGCATAGGGTTTTTATTTATTATTGTATTATCAATACGATCTTGTGGTTCTCAAAGATATCTGGAAATGTTATTAACAAGTTCTTGAAAGGATTAATGTAGTTTTTGTAAAATTATTTTTTTGTTAAATGTGCGCTCAAAGTAAATTAAAAGCTGATGTTTTATATGATGTACATTGAATTTTAATGTAATAAATGTTAAAATATCATTTTTCAAGTTGGTCTTGGTGTTTTTCATTTTATTTTGATATTTTTATATGAAGTAAAAAGGGAAGGTAAAACCATAACCTCTAGAATAAATTTGAAGTAAGTAGATGGTGAAAATTTCATACTGATTCAAGTCAGAAAAGTCCTTCATATAAATTTTTTAAAAACAGTTAATCTAATCTTTGAACTTCTGTTCCACACCTGTTTTAATAATGTGTAAAGTCATGCTGCCTGGAAGAAATCAGCCTTAAATGGAAATATGTTTAGGCAAACCTTATCATGCATTATGTTTTAGCCAGTGAGTCAAAACAAAAACAAAGTGGCCAGAAATGTATAGACACTAGCCACTAGAGAATGTTATTCTGTTATTAATACATGCATGCAGTGTAAGTCAGATCATGTTCATTGAATCCGCGAACTATCTATAGGTAGGTCTGCCTATTTTATTTATTATTCACCCGTTAACAAAAGTCTAATTCATAAAACTTGATGGAGGGAGGGGGTGTAATTTTATATTGAGCCCAAGCAACAAGCCGATGTCTAAAACGGTCATGATCGACGGACGAACTACTTACTATTAAGTTACTATACGCCACAAAATATATGTGCGTCTCACCATGTGTAGCGTAACGGTACTTTTTGGAATTTGGTCGACCCCCATTCCCGGAAATAGAGTTCTGATCAAGGACGCCCCAAATAATATAAGAAAACTAAAATCTAAATGCCATCAAATGGTAAATTAATAATGTACGTATTAATTTTGATTTCTATTCATAATTCCATCAGGCAAATGAGATGGGTTTTTGTTTAATTTAGAGCGCTCATTATGCGCCCTGGACAAAGGCATTTAATTATTTTTTTGCGCTAAAACTAAAATTTCATATAACATTCTTCGCCGCGGTTTACGCAGGCGAAAGCCGATGGTTTCGCTAGGTACACTGCCGTGGTGTACGCATCCACATCGTTAATATTATTAAAGACCACATACAGGTATGCTTTTAAAATTTGATTATGGCGAATATCCTACCGATAAGGTAAATAATTTCCATTTTGATAACAGTAATAACAGTATTTGTTTCCGTAGTTCTTCCTCCATCTTGATTAGGTGTATTTGTGTAATTCTTCTATTTCTGTGTGAATAAAGTGTTAAGAGTTACTTTCCCTAGGGGAAAAAAAAGAAAAAAATAATAATTAGATATGCGACTAAGTTGGGGTGATGAAAGAAAATACTATCGCCAATGTACATAATAATATGCGAAAAAAACGTAAGATTTTAGCTTATGATCAGAAGCTGCCTATTTTCAAAACAACGCGATATTTATATTCGAATTCTGTAAGCCTGTGACAAGATTAACATGAACAATATAGATCATCAATCATCAATAAAGGCAAAGCGATATTTTATTTTATTTTAATCGTGAAATTCACACATTTCGGCAATCCTCCGAAGTCCAGTCCCAAATTATTTCGTATGAAAAAAATGCAATACAATGTGAATGTGTTTATTGTTAGAAAACAGCAGACATGTCAGTCATAGCTTTTGCAAATAACTGTAACTTTACAAACCAGTCAGTAAATACTAAATATTGTAATTGGCGCATGGCATTTGCAAATACCAGCCGAAAACATTCTGCTGGTGACTGTTGCGCCACTGAAAGTCCCCCAAGTAGCTGGCAAACAGACAGCGACTAGTACCACTCTGATAGCGGAGTTTACGTTTCGCTTGCATCCAAAGTCCTTCAATATTTTCTGTGTGAATGTCCTGGTCTACGGGATCAACAAATCCATGCGCATGCACATGACAGTTGGTGCATAAATCCCGTTGTTGAACTGACCGACATTTTATATCCTCGCCAAAGCGTCCATGACGATAGTTGTCCCTGATAACATATGATTAGTGATAATGCGCTCGAGTGTTTGTGCATCTCAATGGCCGACAACCTCCATCCAACATCGTCCACAGCCGCAAACATGAATTTCAAAACAACATGATGTCTAAGACTTTTAAGTAAAGAGTAATCATTGGAAATAATTTGGGACCGGACTTCGGAGGATTGCCCACATTTCTATTGCTTAAAAAAAATTAAAAATTAATTTAGAATATTTTAAATTAAAAAATATATATATATTCTTACACATTTCCCCCCCCCCCCCCTTCGAAAGTATGCCTGAAAGAAACCCTCCAACTGAGACCCTCGGTGTAGTAAAATTAAAAATTAATTTAGAATATTTTAAATTAAAAAATATATATATATTCTTACACATTTCCCCCCCCCCCCCTTCGAAAGTATGCCTGAAAGAAACCCTCCAACTGAGACCCCCGGTGTAGCTTGAAAATGCTCATCCGTAAGTTTGGCCCTGTCCTTTGACTTGTTAAAGTTTATAGTGGAAAAGAGCTTTTCACACATATAGGTAGGCTACTCCAAAAAAAGGCAACGCTTGAACAACCTGGAAATTTCAGGGAAGGTGGAGGGCAATGTTCTCATAAACTATCCATGCTTGTCTATTTTTTCATTCACCTCCCTGAACTTAGAATTGCATTGAAGATCAGTTAGCTCCATTTTAAGCGCAAGTGGGGGAGGGGGGGGGTGTTTGCATCTTCTAAATTGAAAGAGAAATGGTCAGCGAAAAGTTGAAAAGTCGCTCTGTCTGTTTTGAAGTCTAAAAACATGTGATCAAATTCTTCGGGTAGATTAGCAATGACATCATTATGCTTACTACTGAAGGGTTTGCCCGAGTCCATGAATACTTTACATGTTGAGAAACGGCAGAGGTTTATCTAAGAATCATAACACAAGTTTTGTGCAGAATGCCCTGACATTGTCATTGGCAATCCTGACAAGCTACCCCTGATCTTGTAACTTCTTGTTGAGTGCATTCAGCTCCTGTGTAATGTCAACAAGAAAAGCCAATTCCATGAGCTATTTGGTATCGTACAGGAACAACAACCCATCCTTCTCCGTGAAGGCTTTCAGCGTTAAAACGTGTTCAAACAGTAGGCAGGGGCAGGGTTGACCAGCGAGTTTGAGATCCCTGCTATAAAGCCTTTGCCCGGCCGCTTTTAGATTATGCGTCTTCAGTCTGGGACCCAATCAGCCAGAAAAAACGTCGACAGGTTGGAAGCAGTACGCTTTGTCCTGTACCATTACAAGAACACCTCTAGTGTTGGCAGCATGCTGGAAACACTTGACTGGTCACCATTGGAGGAAAGAAGACGATTATCTAGGCTCTCCATGATGTACAAGAAAAATAATGGGCTGGTCCACTGCTCCAGAATTAAACAGATGCTCTTATTGTGAATTTTAGTTTAATTTTTAAGGTAGATTTTCCCCATTTTAAAATAATAATTTTATGCATTAACATTTTTTTAAAAAAAGAATTTACTTCATCTAACAACATTAACATTGGTTTAATGCATGTTATGAATATTATAATCAATTAAAATACGCTTAACACAATTATTTTTTTTGCGTTCCCCCCCAATTTTTCAGTTCACTTTTTTCCATGTTCCCTTTACATAAATATAAATATTAGTTAATTTAAAATAACTTTAAAAAACTTACAGCACATATAACCACTTTAAAATCAAATGAACCTGCAATTATATTTCAGTTTTACTTGAAACTTTTAAATATATTTTTTTTAAATTTCCCAACTTTTTTTCCACAAATTTTCAATTTAAAAAAAATATATTTAAAAGTTTCAAGTAAAACTGAAATATAATTGCAGGTTCATTTGATTTTAAAGTGGTTATATGTGCTGTAAGTATCTAATAATCTAAACAATATCTAAACAAGTATCTAATAATAGTCACCCAGGGTGACTGGGTGGCCAAATGGTCTAAACTGAGCAAACCTCAAGGTGGTGGTCTGGTGTTCAAGTCCAGCCAAAGGCCAGTCAAGCAAAAACATCACCCCGGGTGGATGAGACTCGTTAACCTTGGTCGGCAACTCATCTAAGAGAAGGAAACTCTGAATTCAAACCCGGAGTTGGAGTCCCGTAAAGCGCAAACAATGACAATTCCTGCAACCGAACACATCCCTGGTCGTCTTGACGTAGAGTCTTGCCACTGGATATGGTGTGTCCGGACGAGAGAGTGAGGTAGACGCCGCGCAACTCTTCTTCACTTTAAACAAAGTCATCCGCACAAGTCATCAGTCACCAGACGACTTGATGGTCCTCGTCGATCCTTGACGGACGAACAATAATAATAATATCTAATAATCTATACCTTGGAAATCTCTTCTCGAATAATCTAAAATGTTCACCCCCATACAAACATTCGAAGAAATCTGCGCCACTGCCCAACACTCGTCTGTCCGCTACTAGATTATGGTGCGATTATCTGGGACCCATACCTAAAGCAAGACGTTGACAAGATAGAGCGAATACAACGCAACGCAGTGTGCTTCATCGCAAGTGACTACAAATCCACTACTCATGACTTCGTCACTGACATCTTAAAAAAGATTTGACATCCCCCTCCAAAGACAGACGAGAAAAGCTCCGTCTAACATTTCTTTATAAAGTAGCCATTCCAGTTAACACGTATCTTACCCTGCAGAAGCCAGGTTGCTTAATCAGAGCCAAACGCTCAATAAACACAGACTTCACCTCTGTCAACTCCATGAGTAGTTACATCCGGAACAATGATAAATGCTTTGCTAGGTGTAACACAGTTCAATATAAAGAATCATTCTTCCCACGAACAATAATTGCTTGGAACCAACTGGACAATGCCGCCGTGGACTCAACGTCAATCGAGAGTTTCAAGGCTGCCTTGGCACCCGCTGGGAGCAGTTGGATAGCCGCATCATTTCCCAAACCGTTACACATATGCCATTACTTGGTTGCAGCAACATAGTCTATCAGAATCAGAAAAAAAAATTCCCAACTTTTTTTTCAAAAATGTTTCAATTTTACCTCATCTAAAATCATGTAAAAAATATATTCTTAATTTTATATAAAACTGTTTCACTCACTGTCTTGTATATCTTAGATTGTGAA